TATTGTAACATGTACTTGTAAGTTGTAGTAATAGAAGTATTCGTAGGTGTGGAATGTACCAAAGTCTAAGTTTAAAATAGCCGGCCGAGCAACACGCGAACCCGAAAAATGCCCTAAGCCAATGGTATCCTTACAGCCTCGTTGCCCCCTATATATCGTATCCTCTAAGCTCAGCCATTGAACGCTACGCATCAGCGCTATATATATTGTTACAATGTGAACAAAAAACTCCGTTATTACAGCAAAGAAAGGGCGCCTAGTAGCGAACAACAAATTGGGAGCTTTTCTAGCCCGTCTCTACCTAACTGGGTAGTGCGATCCCTCGTGCAATGCGCAGAACTGCCGATGAGAGCGAAAAGCCGGCTTTCTCCTTAACACGGCACGGCGTATACATGCGTTGGGTAGAAGGCAGCGAAGTTGATTAAGTGCGCCACCAGGTGGCGTTTGAGCGCTTCGCGCGGATATCCGGCTGCAGATCGTCTAGCTCTAGTACTATAGCCCGCTTACATTAACTGCCGCTGGGCTATAGCATCAGCCATTACGAATGCTTGGGACCAACTTACTCAAGCCAGTCAGCGGGAACTGGTATGTATTTCCGCACGTGGAGGGGTGGGCGGGTTGTGTTGGTTGTGGACAAAAACATTGTTGTTGTCAAGTAACAAATTAATAATAGTAATTTGTTCATCTTTCATGACAAAACTAATATTACGATCTCTTTTGATCGCTTAATTTGTTACTTGACAACAACAATGTTTTTGTCCACAACCACCCTAACCCACCCACCCCTCCATGTGCGGAAATACATAGTTCCCGCTGACTGGCGCTGCTGCAGCGCCGTCAGAAATGGCCGTTTGAAGTTCGCAAATTGAATGTTCGTTCACAAGAAATACCGCAAGTATCAAGGTTCAATTTTAGTAGTGGCTATAACTTAAGACATATTCACTTCGGATAAGAGGCATTAATTGCCTACCACAAACGTTTTATAGCCGGATATAATCGGGGATAAGTTGGTCCATCGCATGCCCTATGGGTCGTTCTATAGCCCAGCGGCAGTTAATGTAAGCAGGCTATAGTACTAGAGCTACAGTCAATCATGCAGGCTGGCTGATCTTACTCTTACTATTAGGTTGTTTTACGGTATCCACAAGCTTGCAGTCGAGGATACGTACCACACCATTGTTGCAGGGTTTTCTATCCGTAATTTGAGAGTAAGCAGAGTTGTGCAGCTATCTTCACAACTGATGCCGCTTTCATACTGCGAACGACTTTAGCCCGCTTCTGAAGCGGGATAACTTTAGCTCGGGATAAGTCGTTTCATTATGAAAGCGGCATCAGTTGTGAAGATAGCTGCACAACTCTGCTTACTCTCAAATTACGGATAGAAGACCCTGCAACAATGGT